GAGCAAGATGGTGCAGAAAACCTTCATCTCAACTCAGCAAATCCAGTATTTTAACGAGCATCAGTCGATACATGGCGACGAGCATCGATCGATATACATCGCGAGTTTGGGAAGAGAGCTTTCAAACACGGAGTTCGTCGTTTCTTCTAGGAAAAGAAAGATGAATATGGTGTCTACAGAGATGAGAGTGGTTATGCAAGAAGTATCGCTGGTGACATCATCCATGTTTACAAAGAAGATATTAGGAAGCTGCTAAATAGAGCCACATTGTTTGAGCGCTCTTGTATCTGTCTACCAGAACACGCTGAACAGTTTACTAAAGGAGTTCCAGTTTGCAAGCTCTACACACAAGCAGAGGTTACACACATGCTGTATGAAAGAACCGGTGAACATAACTAGGAGATGGCAGGATTGAGGTCTGAACACGAGAAAGCAGTATCATCACTTCAAGGTGAATTACTGTGGAATCTGTCTGGCAATGACTTCGCTCGCAAAGAAAAAAAAGCCCTGCAAGAAGAGGTGAATGCACTTCGCAAAGATCTTGAATCTCAGAGACGGCCATCGACCGATGCAGCACCATCAGCATCGATCGACACGACCTTCGACCAACCTATCGAGAGTCACTTCCAGACGCTATCGATCGATGAACCTTCATTCACATCGATCGATACTCGCGCACCAGAATATTGTACCAGAGAAGAACTTGAAGAAATCACAACGGAGATCTACAGATCTATTGAAGCCTGTGAAGACGGAGCACATAGATCACTCGACAAATTTTGGTTCCCGGTACAGAGTGACGTTCAGGGATTGAAATGCACAACAGAGGACATTCAGATGGAAATCGACAACATCAAGAACCAGCTCGCGAGCCAACCTGCACAATCCGCATCGATCGACGAGCCTCTGAACCCATCGACCGATGGACATCCATCCACATCGCCCGATAGACGTACCTTGAGATCGGTCGATACTAACCCTTCCCCTGTGCAAAATACCCAAAACCTCGACCCAATGCAGATGAGTACTAATCTAGAGCACACCTACAACAGCATTGGACAACATGACTGCAGTTTAGCAAGCATTGAGGAATGGTTACAGAGAATCCACTATGAGGTCCAAGGTTTGCAAGAAAGAGAGAAAGCCACAAGAAGCTTTTTAACTTCATGGTTTGAAGAATCACAAGACAAGGAGGATACTTGTTTCCCAACAAGTACCTGCAACCCACCTCACTAGCCACCATACCTCCATAGTCAAGCTAAATGACTTTAACTAAGCGCTGAGTGGGTGGCAACCCACTGTTAGGTATTTTCTTACTTAATTTTATTTTATTTTTACTTATTATTTTTGTTTTTATTTGTTTTTAGGAACATAGCTACACGATCACTACCTCTATCGGCCGATGAGACCCTGACTACATTGCCCTACATAACCCTATCCATGACGATCGATGGAAGTGACTCACCATCGATCGATACGAATATCGGTCATGTATATCGTTCACAATTTTGATATCAGTTATACATTTATTATTTCTTATGCTCTAACTCCGACTAGTTATACACTGAGGACAGTGTATGATTTAAGTCTGGGGCAGTGGAATTACTGATGCTACTTTACCTTTTTGATCTCTTTAAAAAAAATTCAAAAATTGGTTTTATTGAGTCAAGAAATGGAAAAAAAGATTTCAAATTTTTTTTTTTGCTTTTTAACTTACTACTCTTTAGCACCATTCTTAGAATTGTTGATTGCAGAAAGTAATATAGATGCTAAAGTGGATCACCGATCATCCTATGACAACAGTTTTCATGATTGTTTGGAAGAACCAAAGCTGATTTTCAATCTAACCTGACATCTATTGCTTGTCTTGGGGCTTGGTATACAAGGGATCAGAATCCTCATGCAAGTCTGGAAGGTAAAAGTCTCAACAATTTTGGTTTCTTTCTCTCCTTCCTTTGGCATCCCATAAAGAGAAAAATAAAAGATTGAGATGATTTCCTGAGAGGCAGAGGGAGAGGTACATTACCTATGACCCCACTATTCTAAATCAAAGGAATGATCACACATTTTGGAAGCGAGGGAGAGGTAAATTATCTATGACCCCACTATTCGCCTACACTTTGTCAAAAAAGCTATAAAAAGTAGAGAGATCAATAAGATGAACATTAGTTGTTCATTGGGATTGATATAAAAGAAAAAAATTTGGGATTCAGAGAGGGAAGTTAAAGAGAGAAAAGGAACCAGAATGAGAATGCCTGAAACTTGTTTGAGTTGAATCCAAGTGTTCTTTGATCGATACTCCCAAAGTAAAGCCTACACCTTTATTTTATGCATAAATGAAATCAGTAGAGGAGATAGACAGACATGATTGTTTAAGTTGATTGGCTAGATGAATTTGGTTGCTAAGCTAGGATATGGTATAATGTACTCCTGTAGTTAGTAATATGAGATGTGGCTTGCAATAAAGTAGAAGTAATGATTTTAAACTTAATATTTATTGAGTCCCTGCTGTTTTTAAACTTCTTCCAAAAGACTAACTAATGGTTTGCTTGCGGACAAGCAAAATGTTAAGTCTGGGAGAGTTGATATACCATGATTTTGACCCACTTTTAGTCATGGTATTGATATATTTTTATAAGTTATATATATGTTTTGGAGTCTATTAGGTATGTTTTCAGGTTCAAGAGCATTTTGGAGTAAAGTGATGATTTAGGTTCCCTTATGGAGCTTAAAGGAGAGTTTTCCGAGATGACTATGAAGATCAGACAACAAGGATACATATCGATCGATACACACCTTGTGTAATTGATCGATGACGCTTCTATAGAAGATGAAGTCGAGATACTCCATCGATCGATGTACACCATGTACCATGGATCGATATCAAGCGTGGAGAACAAGTCTGACTTGGCCGACTTGAAGCCCAAGTTTTCCAAATATTAGAAGATTGCCCCCGACGGGTTTTTAACCTAATGGAACTCATATTTATAGTTTTGCCTATGTGTTTTTAGCAAAGCATGCTTTTGAATCCTTTTGTTTTTGATACTATTTTATACTCAGCAATAAAGTATTCTTTTCATCTTAATTCTCAAAGGTTATAGAATTCTAGATTTAGAAGAAACACACAAAGAGATTTGTTGTTCCAAAGAACCAAAAGTTCAATCTTCTAATCTTATGAATTTCTATTATTACCTTGCTGCTATGAATCACTTAGCTATGTATGAGTAGATTCCTTTGTTAGATTTAGGGTTCAAATAGTTATGAGGGATTAGCCTCAACTATGGAAATGTTGAGTTGTGATATTCATTATCCAAATGAACCATAATGCGTACTCCAGAGTAGCTAACTAAAGTATGATCATGGATGTGATTTAACTTGTTAATCATTATCCTGAAATCATTTGGCATAAGCTTAAATCCTCTAGGGATGTGCGAGAGCCGGTCTATGATCTTGGTGAACACAGTTTCGATTCGATCTTATGCTATATCGATCGATACTCCTATAGAGTTATCGATCGATGGCAACCCATATCGTCCGATATCGCTGTCAAAACATAGGTCGATATTGCCGGCAATAAGATCAATGGATGAGTCTATCTAGCGACTGCTATTGTATCTGTCTAAGAATCGAAGTTCTTATATATCTTGCAAGCAACTTACTAAAACATCTGTAGCATTATAATCATGATTATCTGAATAGCAACCTTGAATCTAACTACTTTCTTTTATTGTTTTTAAACCAAAACCTATTCTCTTGAGCAACTTATCATTGCTCACAAACAGCAATTTACTATTTTAAACTAATCAACCTAACATAATCACTTAGGATTACATCTTTTGTGTTCCTTAGTTCCCTGTGGATTTGATCCCTAAGTAGTACAACTGAACCTCTTATTTGAGAGAGTAATTCACTCCTTAGGGTTAAACATTTGAGTGATATCAAGTACCTAGCCAAAACCAATTTCATAAGTCAAGAGGAGTTTATAAGCTATACATAGAGCTCAAGATCACGAGAAATGGTCAAAGAAATGGGAAGGTATGATCAATTTCCATAAACCGATCAAACCAGTTTTACACTTGCCTTACTTGGAAGATCCGGGATTCACATCAAACCAAACTCCAAGAAGGCGACCAGGAGACATTCTAAGTCATTCAGAGGCACTAAAAAACATCTTAGGAAGCACCAGAGTACAATGGATCAGGCGAATCCCAATCAGACCAGAAGATAGACCCAGTTTAATATAATTGGCCAAACCTACATCAATTGGGGAAAGTTTTAAACCAATTCAATTTGGTTCGACCCAAACATTTCTATGGAAGCCAGGAGATACTCTAGACCATTCAGAAGACATTATCCACGAGCCAGAGGAGTTCTTTCAGTTCATACCATGCACCACACCACATAGAAACAAGAAGATCCTCATTAACACTAAGCTGCTTTATTTGGAGATTCTTATATTCAAACACCAAATGCTCTTAATCCTTGACTTTATGCACGACACAAGCACCTTCCAAGCCATCCAGAAGGTTCCAAGGAAGCTCTCTTATCCCCTTAAACCGTGCAGGTTCAAGAAAAATCAGATTTTTTACTTGGAGCTAAAATCCCACAAAAGGCTCCAACGGCTAGTTTTTGATTCTTTTGATTTGTTTCATTTTCTCTTTGTTTTTGAAAGTTAGGAATCTTGTCTCTGAGCATTATATAAGCTCTTAGACGTCCATTGTACAAAGCACCTTTCAATCATTTAAGAATTTATAAAAGTTATTCAGTTTTTATTAAAGAATGTTCTTTGCATAAAATATTGATCGTTAGGATTCAAAGAGAGATTCTTTGTTGTTCTGTTGATTACGTGAACTCCAGCTTGTTTGTGTGATTCAAACACACTTGGTTCACTGATTGAGAGAGTCAATCGACCCACTGATTGAGAGAGTCAATCATCTATTTATCTTCCATATCTAACATCGTCCCACCTTCCGCAAGTGAAGCTTGGAATATACTGATCATCAAGTGATCTTAAGTTGGTGTGATTCCAATCTTATATCACCAATCCTCCCCGCAGGATGATTAGCTCCATACTCCTCCTGTGTCAGATTCCTCGCCGCCATCAACACAAGGGCTATCGTATCCCCAAACACCATCTGAATCGCCGTGGAAGTCACCAGACCGAGATAAAACGGACATAGCTCCCTCTTCAGCGAAAAATGCACGTTCATATCGCAAACTCCGGCAAGGAGGTTCCCAGGAACGGAGGTGAGAGAGACGAGGAAGGCTTCTCTGGCTTTAGCGCAAGGGACGAGGCGGAGAAGCTCCTCAGTGGCGCCAGATTTGCTGAAGAGGACGAGGACGTCGAAGGAGAAGAGGGAGACGATGACGCCACATCACTAAAGACTCTATCCGTAAACTCCTTAATTACACACTGATCCTTACCAATATCATCCGTGTTTATATTTTTTTATTCAAATCATCCTAGGTTAATACGTTAAATATTCCTTAACTATCCGCGTTGTGGATGCTCTAAGTGAAGGATTAATTAATCTTTTCTGGAATTTAGATTAGTTTATTTTACGTCGTTAAAGTATAAATTTTATTTGCTAGCTTTGAGAAAAAAACAACTGGGACAGGATGTTTCTTCAGTTCACTGAATACAACCTTTTTATTTGGTAGATTAAATATGAATGATTTGTTTCAAAAATGTTTCAAAAAAAAAAGATATATATATGCGACAGCATGAAATCTGAATGATACAAACTTTAATTTCATAAAAAAAAATACAATTTACTAGTTCAGAAAAATACAATTTAATTTCTTATATTTCCATATGCAGAATTGTACGATCCATATGTGAATAGATGTGTACATTTGAACTGGATAACTATGTCTGGTGTTTCTTGATTACGAGTCTATATGGTCATTTCGGGGTTTTCGTTTGAACGTCGTAATCGTATTAATTGAATTGAATTGAAAACATAGTTTTCTCTAAGTATATTAATCTAGAGATGAGAAACTTGTTATTGCTAGGAATCCATAGATAATGGATTAAATCTGGACATATATAAATGTATAAGTTTATAACTAACACAAATGTCGTTATGCCCTTGCATTTATTTCAAAATCATAAAATACATATTAATAATGCTGGAAAATCTCAGTAACGTGGACGGTCTCAGCTATGGGATGTGGCGGCTATACCAATGGTGGGAGCAGGTCTCCAGAAACAGACAATAATACCGTAAGATAGATTAAGTTCAAGGATTGTTTATAAAATTTTCAAAAGTTGTAAAGTACGGAATATATTTAACTGCAGGTGAGGCAAACACAAATGTACACATGACTCTACCTATTCGCATCTCCTATATATTAATCATGAAATATTATAACATTTAAATGCCCTTTTTCAAAAAAAAAAAAAAATTATAACATTTAAGTGTAGTCATATATCATTACTAGAATCATTCTTACAATCTTTAAAATGTATGTTGGTCCATTAACATATAAAATATATTTTTTACTAAATTAATTATCAAAATGATTTATAATGCATAAAGAATATTCTTCATTCTTTCTTTAAATAAAAGCTACAGAAACACCTAATATGATTAACGTATATATAATAATTAATAATTTTAACTAATAAAGATTTGCTAATAGTTTTTGTATCCTCCATCATTTTTTTAAATTTATATTATTAAAAAATAAACAATCACATTAACCATTTAATAAAAAAATTATATTTTTTCTTATATGTTATATTTTTAAATTTTTTAAAACGACTATAAATTACTAAAACAATGAAAATTTTGTGAACAATTGTTTTCTTTTTTATAAAAATATAGAAATGCCTTATATATTAATCCTATAACACATGACAACATATTTTTATAGCCATGTGTTATCATCGAAATAGTTCTCAAAATTATTATAAAAATAAATTGGTCCATATAATTATATAATATATTTTTAGTAAACTAACTATCAAATTAGTTACTAGTATACAAAAAATATTCTTTCTTTCCTTAAAGGAAAGCTACGGAATTGTCTAATATGATTAACATATATATATATATATATATATGTGTGTGTGTGTGTGTGTGTGTGTGTGTGACAATTAATGATTATTAATTATATACAATATAAAGTAAACTAAATGATTTTTTTATTTAATTACCAAAAACATGATAATAAATTAACAAAAAGTATTAGTTTTGATTTATGTGCTTACTCTAATGTATATACTTTTACGTATACAAATTAATTTTTAAATATGTAGTTTCTAATATGTTATTTAATCCTGACAATCCGCGAATTACACTTCTTCAAATTGAAGTGATTTTTAATACTGGAAGCACTATATATCTATATATATTATGATTTCATTCAAATTAAATAATTTGTCTTGATATTTATTCCTAAACATTTTTTTAATGAAATAGTATGACAAGTCCAATCACCTCCTTTTAAGTTTGTTTGAAGAATGATAGATTTGATCATTCGTCTAATATTTATTTCTCCCTAATATCCAATGTAGCTATTATAATTTATCTGAACAAGACTTATATTTAGTACTTTGAGATTTGATTATAATCTGAACCGAACCGAAATCCGAACTAGATCCGAAGAATATCTGAAATTAATATAATATGTTAATATACTTTTATATATCAAGGTAACTTATATATTTTATTGTATTCGAAAGATTTTTGTAGTTTGTTTTATTTTTTTTATTTTGAATATCATTTAGTTAGTTTAGATAGTTTAACTAATTTTAAATTAGATTTATGAATAATTTAAATATTTTGACAATTGGTTTTGTCGATTTTAAGGTTTCAAAAATAATTTTTTGGACGATTTCAGATTTTGGTTACAGTTGAATCCAAATCAAATCCAGAATGAACCGAACCGAAACTGATCTGATAATTAGTAAAACCTGAATGGGTCTAAAACCCATAATACCAAAATTTGAAAATCCGACAGATCCCCAAATGCCTAGACATATGATATATTAAAGAGATCAACATTTGTATTTCGTTATTTTATAATCGATAAAGATTATAGTGTTACAAAATGTTAAAACTGAACAAACATTAATATATAAAATTCACTCCGCGCATGTGCGCGGATATCACCTAGTATATATATATATATAGTTGAAACAACAAGTCTATGAACTGTTTAATAATAAGATCCAACGTTTGAACTAAATTGTAGGGCTTATTTGCTATCTAACCAAATTTGAAAGTAAATTACATAGATGACATTGATTTTGACATAATAAAGAATTTAACATTTGTATCCAAAATAGCAGGTTATACCCTTCTCATTTACAGGTATCCTGTAAACGTAATTTATCACAAATAATATATGGTCAGGAGTGAAAGAAGAAAGAGACATCCACGTTACACTTTTCTTGATCACATACATATATACTGAATGATCTATTCCATACAGCCAAAATACTATTTGAAGACAAAACCACACCTATAATTCGTAAATACTAAAATTTTAACTTCTCAGTATATCGTGAATTTCATTTAACAAGCTCAGCCAGTCTATTTTTTAAAGAATGAAAAAAAGTTCGTGGCCAAAAATAGAACCACTTTTATTTAATAAAGTGTTTCTATTCTATATCATCAAAATAGTATAGTTTACCATTTTTCAACCTTTAAATAATAACTTGTATCTCAACCTCATTTTCAACCTCTAAATTATATATAATTGTCTATATTGACCACATACAAATGCATTGACCACGTAAAAGAACGAGCCATCTACATCACACGTTTATTGACCACATACATATGCATTGAGTGTTTTATTCCATATCCTCGAAATAGTATAGCATTATATCCTCAGCCATATTCTCTAATACTAAACATTACCCCAACCCTTATATACTAAACCTTGTCCTAAACCATAAACCCTAATTCCTAAATACTAAACCCTAAACCCAAAAAAAATAAACCATAAACCTAAATATAAACCATAAACCCAAATATAAACTCTACACCAAAATAGAATGGAACAAAAAAAATTGCATAATTATTGGTAAAATTAGGAAATCTAAACCCTAAACCCTAAACCCTCCACCCAAACTTCAACTCCCACCTTCCAAATACTAAACCCTAAATCCTAATCACTAAACCCTAAACCCAAATATAAATCCTAAACTCAAATATAAATCCTAAACCCAAATAAAATGAAACAAAATACATAGTATAATACATATCAGTGAACAAAACATAACATTCTTTATTAATCATCAAATAGAACGATACATTAATATATTTCATTACATAACATTAATTTAACAAACATAATACAAATTGGTTCACATTAGTACACACTATCATTGTAAACACACTAAAACATTTCTCTCAAGCAACAAATGGAATATAACATGATAAATAACATAGTACACTAATATAAATGCGTCAATAAGAAAAATGTTGAATTTGAAAGGTATGAAAGACTGTTCTATTTCATAAATATAGTATAGAAATATGTGTACAGAGTATACTATATCAAAGATAGTATAGTAACCTCAAACAAATATGTATACGATATGTAACTATCTTCTTCCTCGTCTTCATCAACCATGATTCTGCAATTTTAAAGTCGCCTTCCGCGACTTTGTTATCTCTCTCATCTTCGTTAATCGCAATAATGCAATATTAGAGTTGCGTTGATTTCCTTGCAATGATGGTGAGAGGATGTGAGAAAAAGTCGGGTTGCAACGGTAGTGGAGAAGAATAGGTGGTAATAGAGTGATCGGAGGTGGAGTTGATAACCTAATCGTACGTGACTTTGAATCTATCTTCTTTACCAAAAAACTTCTCCGGTTACAACAACGGTGGTGTCGTACATACAAATACAAGATGAGATATATTCATCTTTTTGCAAAACTATCTAATTATGTTGAAAGGTGAGAGTAAATACAACGTGACCACATAATTATTTATTTTATTTTTTTTCTCTATAAGTTTTACCGGTTGTTTTGAAGGGAAATATAGTAATATTACACAAAATACATGTGATACACAAAAAAAATAGGGCACTTAACCATAGACTTAATTATAATTTGTTTGAACGTCATACAATACAATGCAAATTCCCTAAAAGTAACGTGAATGCATTTGAAAATAACATTCGTCAAAATTAGTTGTTATTTGTTAATTGGGTTGTTAATCAACAACCATACTTAAGAATAAGGGTTAGATATATTGCAAATATCCTTATCTCACATGCAATCATTTGTACCAAATACAATTAATTAATAACTTGTCGAATTTGTCGACGAAGCAAACATTTATCATTTTCAAAAAAAAAAAAAACAAACATTTATCGAAATTCTCATCTATGTAACCTTTAAATTCCATGCACGAGCTACCTATACAGACTACTAATAAATAAATAAAAAGATAGAATTATAATAGCAGCCATCATAGGTACGTAACATCAAGCAAATATATTGTATTATTTAGCTTTGGGATTATTATAGCGTCCTGGCATGCCAAGTTGAATAAATTACGAGGAACTAATAATAAATATAATAAATATATTAACACAAAGAATATAATCGGTTTAAATTTTAGAACTAAAATCCGAATTACTTTACGAAAAGAAAGAGGTTAAAGATATTCACAGTTTTTTAGTGGAATGCTCGGTTTGAATTACATGTAACCCTAGAGTTTCAATTCTTGCTCAGTTCAAATGGGTAAACTATTATGAAAATTAATTTAACAGATACATATGGACACGATAACTAATCCGCAATTCTAATAACAATACAATAAAACAGTAAGAGTGATAATAAACAATAAGAAAGAACAAGGCTACCAGTTTCAAAAAAAAAAAAAAAGAAAGGACAAGGCCACAATAATTATATGATAATAATTGGAAATTTACATGAATAGGAATAAACAGAACATGTTAGTTAGTATTTTTCTTCTTGTTTTCTTCTTGTCATTGCTTTATCCTCTCACGGCCAACAGTATATATAATCCTAACTTGGGAACAATCATTCTCCAACCCTTGAGAGTTTAATAATTTATAAGTGTCTCGTAAAACAGAATGGCGAGATTGGGGTTAGCTGTTGTGACGATTTTTGTGATTCTAGGGTTTGTAAGCATTTCAGAAGCTCAACTGAAGCTAGGGTTCTACGATAAAACTTGCCCTAACGCAGAGAAGATCGTACAAGCTGTTGTCAACCAACATATCCGCAATGTACCATCTTTGGCGGCTGGCCTTATTAGGATGCATTTCCATGATTGCTTTGTTCGGGTATGTTTTCTTCATTTTTTTCAAATGATAATTCATAAATTATAAATTCTAGATTAGCTTCAAAAATTTAGTACATATTATCGTACGTACACTCAACGTATAAACTATTCTCCTAAACAGCTAAACCAATAAATTAAAATCTGCTTATGCATTAACATATATCGTATATGCAAAAACGTATATTTCCTCATCGACGTATGACACAAAAATACATACGTAAACGTATTTTGTTATATGTATAGGGCTGTGATGGTTCGATCTTGATCAACGCGACATCGAGCAACCAACAAGTGGAGAAGGTTGCTCCTCCAAATCTAACTGTTAGAGGTTTCGACTTTATCGATTTAGTGAAGACTGTTCTGGAGAGGAAGTGTCCTGGAGTAGTCTCCTGTGCCGATATCATCACTCTCGCTACTAGAGACTCTGTTGCTGCCATTGTAAGTATACTAAATACTAAACTCACCTAGTTTAAGCTAACTAACTCCATAACTATAGCAAACCGATCTTGGTTACTTTTCGTTTAGGGTGGACCGACATGGAATGTTCCAACAGGACGCAGAGACGGACGGATCTCTAATGCCACCGAGGCTTTGAACAATATTCCTCCTCCTTTCGGAAACTTCACTACTCTGATTACCCTATTTGGAAACCAAGGACTTGATGTGAAAGACCTCGTCTTGTTATCCGGTAAGAAAATTGACTTCTTCGGTTCGGTTTAATCAATATCGGATAACATCATTTTTGGTCAAACAGAATCAAACGGTGCCGTTTAATTTAAATACTTGATTGACATTTAAGCAACGTTATTTTAAATGTTCCAGGCGCGCACACAATCGGAGTGTCTCATTGCTCATCCTTCTCGAACCGTCTCTTCAACTTTACCGGCGTCGGAGACCAAGATCCCTCACTCGACAGCGAATATGCCGACAATCTCAAGTCACGGAGATGTTTATCTATCACCGACAATACCACGAAGGTCGAAATGGATCCCGGTAGTAGAAACACCTTTGATCTTAGCTACTTCAAGCTCGTCTTGAAACGCCGTGGGCTTTTTGAGTCTGATTCGGCGTTGACTAAGGATCCCACAGCGTTGGGTCAGGTCAGAGGCTTCGCCGAAGGATCGCTGCAAGATTTCTTTGTCGAATTCGGCAAGTCAATGGAGAAAATGGGAAGGATCGGGGTGAAAACCGGCTCGGATGGAGAGATCCGAAGAACCTGTTCAGTGGTTAATTGAAAACACTTCTTTTATTTTATTTGTATTTGGTTATGTTGGGTGATTTTGTTTTTTTTTCTACTATATTTGGGTGTTTTTTTTGTTGATAAAACTACATTTGGGTGTTTACAATTTCTAAATGTTTATTTGTTGTGTACGTGGTCAAAATGTTGTTTCCGAATAACTTTCACGTTTGTGAAATCTTTGTACTAAATTTCCAGTCGATTTGTTTTCAATAAAAATGTTCACTGCACCTTTGTTCAAAAATAAAATTATTTGCATTTCTAAATAAACATTATTTAGATGCTTTCGTGCATTAGACTGGAAATTAGAGAAAGGTGAATCAATTTTGTAGATTAAATAAAGCAAGAAAGAGGGGGAATCTTGAGATATATACTGGAAACTGATATTCATATTTTATAATTAATTGAAAAAACATTAAAGGTTTGAAAAATAAATAAAATTGAAAAAATGTTTTAATGGGAATATATGTAGGAAACAAAAATTCTTATAATTACTTTATTTTTATAAAAAAAACTTAATTTAATACAGCATCAAAAGAAACAATTTATTCCCTCAAAACTGATGTAGATTGTAGAGGCCATGACTCAAAAGGGTAAGCTCAATGGTGGAACAATAACTACACTGAGCTGAGTAAAGCCCATTGACCCACTTGTAATATTTCATCAGTGTTTTTGCTTCTCTTCTCAAAAGGTAACCATCTTTTTGTAGAAGTCTGTAGACTCTGTACTTAAGAAGGCTATGCTTTGTACTTACGGCAAACCAATGTTAATAACTGCGTTTTGTATGAAGGTTTAGTGACCGAATAAGACTATAAAGGCTCCGGTTCTTTGACTTCTCTGCAAAACACTTACGAATTTGAAGAGAAAAAAAATCAAACTGTGTAGTCAAAACAGAGTTTTTCAGTGTCAGTACAAACAACAAAAGAACATGGTGTATACAATTGGTCGCTGTGACCTGTCGCAGAGTTTTACAACAAACGAATGAACATCAATCAACATGGCCATATCTATACATAAAAAGATTATCATTTAATAAAAACACAATCGCACCACCCTATCTTCTTTACTCTAGGGATCTAGATATTACAATGATCAATAGCTTCAAGAATCTCACTTCTGCTTTTCACCAACCTATGAAACACTTCTCTAACTTGTCTCTGTAAACCATCAAGCCCATCTTCCATTATCCGACAAATCTCCTCCATCTCCTCCACTTCCGCCTTCACTTCCTCCTCTCCATCAAACCTAAACCCATCAGCGAATTCCATCAGCTTTAACCCAACCTTCTCCATCCTATGCATCTCCTCCATCAATCCTCCTCCACCACAACGCTTCTCCTTCCGTTTCAGCTCTTCCCCGATCCTCTCCTGGATACTCGCGGCCGCACTAGCCCAAACCTGATGCCTCGGCAACGGCAAATGAACCGTCAAACCGTTACTTGCCTGACAAGGAACCGCCGCAACCAACGTCCACATCACCATTACCATCACACTACTCATTATAAACATCGGAGACGCTTCTCCGCCACGTGGAAGTGCAAGATTCGTCGTCATTGCTTGAATCTGCTTCGCCGCTGACCAGTTCTTGCTCACACATCCTCCTCCCCCGCCGCCGCTGCCATGGCCAAACGACGAGGACTGCTCCGTCGTCGTCGCCCTCCTACCGCTTCCGCCGCTGTTTTTATCGGCGTTTAAGGCGTCGAGGAGGCTTGTGAGGGCCCGTTTAGCTCTCCTAACGCTTCCGTCACTTAACGGCTGCTGTTTCAACGCCGTAACGGCAATCTCAGCGAGACGCTGGCTTTGTCTGACTGAGTCAACGCCGTTGACTACAGCTGTACAGATATCAAGGGCCTTAACGATCCGGTCAAGCATCTCCGGTACGAGCGGTTTAGAGATCTGAGCCGGGTTCGTGGCTAGCACCGATTGAAACTCCGATTCGCAAGACATGAAGGCATCGAGAAGTTTCCGAAGCCACTGGATCGATAGAATCGGGTCTGACGGAGAAAGTAACTCCGTGAAGCGTTGAGCAACGTGTTTCTGGAAATCTTCCAGCTCTCTGAGTTCTTGGTCGTGGTTGACGTCCATGGAAACGATTTGATTGCGGCGGCTGATTCGACTTAGGAAAGAACCTTGATGCTCCGTCACCGGCGCCATTTAAAACGGAAAACAAGAAGAGATTTGCTAATCTTTCTGAGGAAGATATAATCTCTTTGGAGGTAGGGAAATGAAATTGGACAAGCGTTTTGGGGATTTTTTTTGACCAGAGAGGAAAAGTCCATTATATTGAAGACATGTCTTTGTCGGGTTATGGAACCATAGACTTGTTCTTCTCTCTTCTCGCTTGCTTTTCGGTGAGTAATTGTTTTTTTCTGCTTCAGTATTTTATTTCCTTTTCAATTTACCTTCTACACAAATGAGCATTTTTTTTTGTGTTGTGTATTTGGTAAAACCAATTTACAACTCCAAAATCTATAAAAAAAAATTGAAGTCCAGCTAGGCTAGGACCTTCTACACAAATGAGCATTTTTTTTTTGTGTTGTGTATTTGGTAAAACCAATTTACAACTCCAAAATCTATAAAAAAAAATTGAAGTCCAGCTAGGCTAGGACCTTTGGGTTTTTAATCGGGTTCACTTCGAGTTTACTTCACCCCATAATGCATCTTTATTCTCCTAACATGATGTCTAGTAAGATATTGTGTTCTATTGCTAATTGTATTTTAATAATCAAAAAGTTAAATTTACAGTTTTTATCACAACTTCTTATGAACTTACTATGTACCAAGAAGCGAAACTAAAAGCATGTTCATTGCAAAAACACTTAAGGATTCTTTACGTGGGTTTTAATAATTTTTTAATTATAAAATTTAAGATAAGAGACTTGATTAAGGGACACTTAATTATAAAGTTTATTGGTTGTTCCTTAATTAAAGTTCTTAAAAATAAATAATAATTTTTTTTGAACATAAATTTTATTAAAGAGTTCAAATTTATTTATTTTATAAAACAAAGTCTAACATAACATTTTATACATAAATATTAAAATAAAAACATAAAAACATAAAAATAAATATTAGTAAAATAAACGATAATAATTTCAAGAGAGATTTAGTGAAATACCCTTATTTGAAGTCAATATTAGAGCTTTGCCCATGATTTGACATTATAAGACAAAAGCATACAATTAAAGCTTGATTTGCCCAAAATAACCTTGTAGAGTTTCTCTTTCCCTTCTCACAGATTTTTTTTTCTGACACTCTCTCTCACTCTTTTTCTTCATTTCTTCATTTCTTCTCAACGATAACACACTCTTTTTTATTTCCACTTTTTTTTTTTTTTTAAATTCACTCAGTTTGATAGAGAAATTGAAACTTCAACAATATAAATTTTTTTACTTATAATACATAACAATGTATTGACATCTACGATTATTAACATTTAACACATATGTTTACACCTATAATACATGTTTTTTAACAGCTAACACAAATGTTAACAGTTACAAAAATTGTTAACAGTTACTGTTTTCTGTTAACACATCTGTTAACATTTACAAAATTTGTTAACAATTAATGTCTCTGTTAAAACGTCCGATACATGTATTTGTTAACAGTTAACATTGTTGTTGACATCTAAGTTATTTGTTAACAGCTAACATAAGTGTTAACGTCTCGGCGATTTTAAAAAAAACTTCAATGCTAATTTTTTCAGAATGTGGTGAAATTAAAATAATTTAGATTCATAAGAATAGTAGTAAAATAGTAATAAATTTTACGTAATAATAAATTTTTACAAAAAAAAAAGAAGATACTAACATGATAAAAGAGAGAATGAAAAAGAAGAAAAATGGAAGGAAAGAGAAAGAGAGGTTCTGAGGAAAGAAAGTGTCAGGAGAGAGAGTGTCAGGAGAGAGAATCACAAGGGCAATTTCGTCATAAAAAATAGATCAGTCCCTTCATGGGCAATCGCCTAATTTTGGGTCCAAAAATGATATACTAGCAAATAATCTCTAATGTCAAAGAAACATAGAACTTCAGTTGTTGTCTTGATCATATCCAAATTTATGCCATAAATGTTCGACTAAATCACGTTTCAGTTGTTGATGCGCTTGTTTATCCCGAATTCTTGTTCGAACACTCATATGATTGGCGATATTTGTAGGGATATCTGTAGAATATGTGAGATCGACATGTGAACTCCCACTGCTTTCTCCTTGTTGGAAATCGGAAACATCATATTGAGTGTATCCATCTCGTTCGTCTTCTACTATCATATTATGGAGTATGATACACACTCTCATAATCTTCACAATCTTAATTTTATCCCAAGAAAGTGCCGGATTTTTAGCAATGGCAAGTCGAGCTTGCAAGACTCCGAAAGCATGTTCGACATCTTTTCGGGCAGCTTTTTGACGTTGAGCAAATAAAACTGCTTTCGGCTCTTATGGAAGTTGAATAGATTGGATAAAAGTTACCCATTTCGGATAAAAACCATTGGTAAGATAGTAAGCCAAATGATACTCTCTTCCGTTGACCGAGAAATTCACTAGCGGTGCTTGACCATTTATTATGTCATTAAAAACATGTGAGCGATCAAGAACATTGATATCATTTAAGGTACCTGGAGCTCCAAAAAACGCATGTCATATTCAGAGATCATAGGAGGCAACGCCTCTAAAACGATTGTAGGTGATCCCGAACCACGAGAATATTACCCTTTTCCAAGCGGTGGGACAATTCTTCCACTCCCAGTGCATACAGTCGATGCTTCCTATCATCCCGGAAAATCCACGAAGGTCTCCAATATGAAGTAGACGTTGAAGATCAGAATGTGTTGGTCTTCTTAGGTACTCATCGCCGAAAAAATCTATTATTGCTTCTACAAAATTTTCTAGACATAACCGAGTAGTGCTTGAACGAGCCTGAGGTATTCGTCGACCGCATCTAGCGCATAATCATATGCCAACACACGAATTGCTGCTGTACACTTTTGAATTGTAGAGAGACCAAGCCTTCCGAGAACGTCTCTTTTTTGTCGAAAGAAATGAACTTCATTGGAGAGTCGCTCAACAATATGCATGAACAATGGCTTGTTCATTCTAAATCGTCGTCTAAAAAGATTTGCAGGATATGTTGGAGTTTCACTGAAATAATCATCCCATAGACGAATATGACCTTCTTCACGATTTCTTTCGATAAAAACTCTTGTTTTCATTGTCCTTCTTTCACCTTCTTGATCACCATAAACATTGCACAACCTGTCAAATGTTTGATCAAATTGTCGATCAAACATTTCATCAAGTGATCCTTCCAAATTGTGATGTGAAGAAGATGCCATTAGAAGTTTGTTTGTTTTTTTTAATTTTGTTTGTGATTTATTCTTGTGAAGATAAAGAACAAACTGGAAAAATGAGTGAAAAAATGAGTGTGTTTGAGTGAAAAGATGAGTTTTTATCGTATTGAAAGATGAGTGTGTTTGAGTGAAAAGATGAGTTTGTTTGTATGAGAGGAGAGAATGGACATATATATAATACAACAACAACAAGACTCTCGTGACTACAACAAAAACAAGACTCTCGTGACTATTTGACAACAAGACTCTCGTGACTCTCGTGACAACAACAAGACAACAACACTGCATTACAAAAGCAACAACAAGACTCTTGTGACATACAACAACAACACTCCCGTGACACTCTTGTCCAGTCCTTTGTAGTCTCCATTCGCGTGACAATAAAAACTCCCGTGACACTCTTGTCCTTTTTCACTTGCATTACAAAAACATTTTTGAATAAATAAAACAATATTGAAGAACATTTTTTGCATAACAAGATGAAGAACATTTTTTCATAATTTTCGAACTACATAAACAGAGCAAGATTGCAACGGAAACAAGTACAAAACATCAAATTTAAACATGAAACAAAAGATCAAACTTAAACATGAAACAAAAGATCAAACTTAAACCTGAAGCAAAAGAACAAACTTAAACATGAAACAAAAGTAGAAACATCAAACATCAAACTTAAGTGAATAACTCAGCTATCAGCTTCTTTTTGAGTGCTTCTTCATACTCGGCTAGACCTTCTTTTCTTCCAACAAGACTCTCCAGAAAATTCAGCTTAGACAGCCTCTCTTTGCCGTCCAAATCCGCCTTTTTGATCGTCCACATAGTCTCAAACTTATTCGTTCCAGTATCCTCTATGTAGAAGGTGGATTGCATCTACCCGTCAAGGCCCACGAGAAAACATATGCGGCCCATTAGAAGACAGCACGCTCAGCCCGATCCACGACTGACGAGCCAGTCGTTAACAGACGGCGTTAGCTGAGTAACAGCCGAACGGCGTCCGTACAAGTCACAAACTCGTTTCCACGGGCCGAGCAAGAAGCAATACGGAAGCCCATGAACGTGTACCCCTTTAGGTCAAACTAAACAAGGAGAGATCGACTATAAAAGGGGAAGGAGGCGCAACGAGAAGGGGATCCGAAAATAGACGGACTAAGTGACAACTTATATTAGGGTTTTCATCTTATTCTCCCTGTTGTTTACCGACTAGTCTGTACGACATCTCCGGTCAAGCTCTCCGAGCACCAGATATATTGCCTGTACTCCCTTCCTGATTATAAATAAAACTCTTTCTCTTACTCGTACTCGTTCATACCTTCGTAATAACCCACCGACGAGTCCAGTCACTCACTTTACTGATATACGACCGAACTCGGTACGAACACTCTACAACTTTCTTCTTACCACTTGCCTTTGAGGCCTTCACACCCGGGGGACGCTTCAGAAAATCTGGTTGAGAGCTCTCTGAGTCTGCAACGTCATCACACCTCCTCTTCCTCGAGTTCCCTTCCTTTTTAGCAGTAGCAAGCTCACACCACTTCTGGTCGTTGCGTAGTTCCTCCAAAGCGTGTTCCAGATTGAATTCTTCTTGTGAATGGTCAAAAAAAATTTGTGAGCCTTGTTAGAGACATCATTGTCATTAAAGCTGCTACCTTTAGTTCTAGATGCATCCTCATACGCTCCACAGAACTTGGAGACTAGGTCATTGATGCGGTGCCAACGCTGCTTGCAGTGCCTTGGCTGTCTCTGTTCCGAGCCAGCATCACCTAGACTTTCCTCAAAGTAGGCAGCAATTCTAGACCAAAATGCTCCCGACCTTTGCTTGTTAGCAACCACCGGACCTTTGCTCGTGTTTAACCACGAGCTGATGAGAAAAAGATCACACTTTGGTGTCCATTTCCGTCGCTCTCTTCTCTTTGTGGCAGTGTCTCATTCTTCATAGTTTGAGGCTTCCG